TCCCCATCCATGTCCTCATCCATAGGTGCACAATTTTTGTCCAGCACCAGGTATTCCCAGGTGGCCTCCCACCCAAGTGCTAACCAGGCCCAATCCTGCTTAGCTTCTGAGATCAGACAAGATCAGGCGGGTTCAGGGTGGTGCGGCCCTGGACGCTGACAGCAGCCTCCAGGAGCCCTAAGCCCTTGGCAGCACCTGAGCTCTCCTAAGAAGCCCGGGCCTGGCCTCCAGGACCCTCAGCCCTTGGCAGCACCTGAGCTCTGCTCTCCCTCCCACTGTGGCTTCCCACTGGGGCATGGGATTCCCGCGCCCCATCGGGGGTGGGCACCTCCCTGCGCAGCAGCGGGGTTTGTTCGATTTCCTCCTGTTTCAGGGGAGCCAGGGGAGCCGGTTCCCAGAGGGGCGCTTGGGGCTTCCACCCTGGCGTGCGGGGGAGGGAGGTTAAGAGACAACCCCCTCCAATCGAGGGGTGCCCTCTGGAAGGTGGTCGGTCAGGCGGGAGACTCCTTTCCGGATTGGAAGTGGGTTTGGGGGGGCGCCCCATCAGGGCCCTTCCGCAGAGTAGCTGGGGGGTTCCCTCCGCACAGCCAAGGGGAGGAGGGCAGAGGCCGGGCCACGCCCTAGGGGGGAGTTTGGAAGAACAGCAGGCAGAGGGCGGGCATGGCAGGTCCGAGGCGCTTGAGATGCAGGCGCCCTGGATCCGCAGCTGGGTGCGTGGGCTTGTGTGCCTGAGGCGGGCGGGCATCTGGGGGCTGAGCGGATGGGGGCAAAAAACACACACAAAAGAAACCCCAAATTGGATACTTCAAGGGACAACCCAAGAGGTAAATCCTCCGCAGAGAGGATGTGGAGAAGAGTCAGGCTGAGAAACTAAGTAAGGGACGTGTTTGGCGACAGAGCGGGCCCACATCGAACAGCTGTAGGGCAGTGTCTGTCCAGGTGTCCAGGTTTTAAAAGTTATAAGGAGCCGATAGGCTGCTAAATAAATGTCTACCTTCCTACCTTACAAATACACGTTTATACGGACGACGGGGAAGACCAGGGTCTTTAGACTCCTCAGACTCCTAGGAAGTCCACGCCAGCACCTGGGAATGCTGGCAGGCAGGGCCCTGGCCTGTGCTCATTCATCCCTCCGGTCCTCCCCCTGACTCCATCCCGCAGTGTGAGGGCCGGCGTGTGGCCTGGGGACATGCAGCCTGCAGCTCAAGCTCAACCCACAGGCTGCCTCCAGGCCCCGGGTGGGCACCCTTTGCCTGTCAGCTCTACATTTCAGCCGCTCACAAAGGCCTGTTCTTTAGGTAGGACACTTTGAAGAAAGAAAACTTAATAAAACCTTTTTTTTTAAAAGAAAGTTTTTAAAGGTTCTGTGAACAGTGATAAGAAATGTTAACGTAAAAAACCATTGAAACCTGTAAAGAATTTTTGTGAGTTTATTTGAGCCAAACTGTCGACATATGCCGGGAAGCAGAACCTCAACGAATTGAGATAGTGCTCCGGAGAATGGCCGGGTT